CCCCAAAACCCCAAAACCCCAAAACCCCAAAACCCCAAAACCCCAAAACCCCGTGTGATGGGGTTGAGATTGAAATTTGAAAAATTTGAATCGATTATTTAAAAATCTTTTAATTTTATAGCTTGAAAGAGTTCTGAGAAAATTCCTTCTTCTTTTTCCTTTTAAACAGGTAATTATCAAGAAGGATGTCTCTGTGGATCCTATCGCCCTTCCTGGTAGTCTTTTTGACCAAGTTTTGGTCAAACACTCTTTTGAAACTCTCATCTAACTCAGGGTCTGTCTTTTGAGCAACCTATAAAATGAGCTGGTAGATTACTTGTTCAACATTACTGTCTGACACATTTTGAGGTTTCTTCTTTCTCTTAATTTCCTTCAGTCCGATGAATGGAATCTTTCCAAAGTTGCATGCCTTCCTAAGTCCCTCAGTAAAGAAATAGGAGGAGTTAGACTTGATATTTGACAAGTTTTGTGAGTTAGACCTCTTGTAAATATTTCCAAATTTCTCCTCACTAAAGGTCTGAAGATCCTTTCTTCTTAAAGGAGAGTTCATAAAGTTAGAGGAATCATCTGTACTGATACAATTATCAGTAAGAGACCTTCTTACTATTATTGGAGTCCTGATATACTTCTTCTAAGCAATAATCACCATAATTTTTACCGGATTTTTAGAACTTCTTTCTGGAGAAAGTCAGCTCTTTGACCTCTGAGGAGTGAAATATTTCTTCTGAGGCGGTCCCTGGTCAGATTTCTCCTTTAGAGAACTACCAACAAGTCTGGCTTCTTTCTCTTTATCCTGGCTGACTCGATTTCTGGAGAGGTAGACTTTCTTCTTCACTCAGTATTTTGATCCTTTCTGCTTATTATTTAAAATTGATTGTGAATGAGTTTTTAATTGGTCTAAAGGTGAAATTTAAAGATACTTCTTTTGTAAATCTGGCTTCTGAGCAGAAACTACCTTCTTCCTAACAATCTTTGCCTTCTTTCTCCAAGTAAGGGCTAGTGTATTAGAGATTAGACACTTACTCTGACCGTCATTCTTCTTCTTGCTGCACGCCATTATTGTAGCATGAGGGAGCATGAATTCATCAAGAAGCTTCTTAGGGTCTGATATCTGCCTCTCAGATTTAATCCCGATGCTATCCTGGAGTTTGCTAGAGGATTTGAAGCTTACAGCTTTTTCTCTGATTTGCTTATTTTATCCTCTCAATATTTATAAGGTCATTTTTAAGACGAATTGGAGATACACTAGACTTCTTGTCAGAAGAGTTTCTGTAATCATAAGGTATGGATCCTTTATCTGCCGCCTTCATTCGCATTTTCCACATTGCTTCTCCTGATGAGAATGCTTTTTGCTCATACGGAGAAGACAGATTATTAGACAAGGAGTTACGCTTAAATCTGTCTAGTGGAGTTGAAAACCTCCCTTCAGTCCCATAGCTTGAGTCATGTCTCAACGAAAGTAAGCTTTTCCGTTGACCTGGTGTCTCAAATATCGACTCTTTGACTTCTGTTGCAAAGTCAAATATTCTATCACTCTTTTCAGGGGTTTCTTTATTTCTCATTTTCTTTGTTATTAAACTTTATGAAATAATCAATTTATAAAAACAATCTGGGGTTTTGGGGTTTTGGGGTTTTGGGGTTTTGGGGTTTTGGGGTTTTGGGG